CAACAATCAGATATCAGTTCTCTCTCTCTCTATCCACCTTTTCAGCCAATATTTGTTTTCATATCGCATTGTTGTTGTTTGTGTGTGGCCTCAAATACTGATAAGTTGTGAAATTTACCAAGAAATTCTTACAAGTTATTACCGATTTTTAATTCCGCAGAATAATAAAATTGCTCATAATATTAGGAATATTATGATGGATGCGTAATACGGCCGGAATTAAAAGGGGAAATTATTATTCCGCAGGAAAGACATCAATAAATGAGAACTTAATTAAGTAGCTCGATATGTGTGGGAGTTTTTTTTTCGTTTTTTTTTTAATGACTCAATTCTGAGTTATTCGATTAGAAAAATTACAATTGCCAAGAGATAACCCTAGGCAGAGATAACAAGTTGTTAGTCAACTCAGCTCAGAATAGTAGGCAAGTTAGTTTGTATTGTGGGTTAATTAGTTGATATCGATAATGATGTTGCCAGATTGATTGTTTGTCGTTGAAATTCCAAAACGGGAACCTCCATAGACGATTTTATACTTCAAGCATTGTTACCTTCCAAATCTTCTTAAATAACAGATTTGAAATAATTTCGTGAGTAAATGAGACAAGGATTATCAAAATTGAATGCATATTACGAATGTGAGGGGCGTAAACACCAAATCGGGAGATAACAAAACTGCAACGAAGTCGAACGCCATAATTTTTAAATTTTTCTATAACCTCCACCATAGTCGGTCCGTCTGTGGAAATCACTCTAGCTTCCGAACGAAATGATGAAGGTTGATAAAATTTTACTCAAATTTGTACTATGTCTGCAGGACTTTTGGTATTGAAAATGGGCCATGTAGGTTCACGTCTTCGTATAGCCCCCATATAACGGTACCTCCCGATATTCGGTATTTTGTTGATTTTAGAGACATTTTTTACCGGAATTGTTTCAAATTTGGTATTTGAAGTTTGTAATACATACTACAGCATAAAACAGAAAAAGGGCCATGTAGATCCACGTCTTGGTATAACCCCCATATAATGGTACCTCCCGATATTCGGTATTTCGATGATTTTAGCGACATTATTCATCGGAATTGTTTCAAATTTGGTATTTGAAGTTTGTAATAGACAGCATAAAACAGAAAATGGGCCATGTAGATCCACGTCTTCGTATAGCCCCCATATAACGGTACCTCCCGATATTCGGTATTTTAATGATTTTAGCGATATTATTTACCGGAATTGTTTCAAATTTGGTATTTGAAGTTCGCAATAGATACTACATCCTAAGGCAAAAAATAAGTCATGTAGGTCCACGTCCTCGTATAGCCCCCATATAACGGTACCTTCCGATATTCGGTATTTTGATGATTTTAGCTACATTATTCACCGGAATTGTTCCAAATTTGGTATTTGAAGTTCGTAATGGATAGTACAGCTTAGTACAAAAAATTTTCTATGCAGGTCCACGTCTTCCTATAGCTCCCATATAATGGTACCTTCCGATATTCGGTATTTTGTTGATTTTAGCGACATCATTTACCGGAATTGTTTCAAATTTGGTATTTGAAGATCGTAATGTATTCTACAGCCCATGACAAAAAATTGTCTGTGCAGGTCCACGTCTTCATATAGCCTCCATACAACGGTGCCTCCCGATATTCGGTAGTTTGATGATTTTCGCTACATTATTTACCGGAAGTGGTTCAAATTTGGTATTTGAAGTTCGTAATGGATACTACAGCTTAGAACAGAAAATTGTTTAAGCAGGTCCACGTCTTCGTATAGTCCCCATATGACGGTACCTCCCGCTACTCTGGAGTTTGATGATTTTAGCGACATTATTCACCGGAATTGTTTCAATTTTGGTATTTGAAGTTCGTAATGGATATTACAGCCTATGACAGAAAATTGTCTGTGCAGATCTACGTTTTATAACCAACATGGTACATCCCTATATTCGGTATATTGATGATTTTAGCTACATTATAAACAGATTTTTTTTCTCAAGTTTCGCATTTGAATATTGTAATAGCTTGTGACAAAAGTCGCCTATGCAGGTCCACGTCGTCGTATAGGCTCTAATATACGGCTACATTAGGTATTTTCAAGATTTTAACAGAATTTTTAACGGATTTTATTTTTTTTTTTTTGAAAATTGCTAAATATGTACCAAATGGAGGAGGGTATTCAAAGTTCGCCCCGGCCTAACTTACATATTTTGTACTTGTTTTTTTTTTTAATTTTATCGAATGAAAACTAGGATCAAATTTTACAATAAGTTTAGATTTGTTCGAATTTGTCCGAATATTGCTCTGCTGTGTTTAGGCCCATTCCCGGCGAAGCGCTTGCTTGAGGTTATCGACACTTCGGTATTTTTTAGTTCCAACCTTACTTTCCAAAATATTCCAGATACAATAGTCTAACGGATTGGTATCCGGAGATTTTGGTGGCCATTAGGCGCTGGAAATGAAGAGAGAAAACTCATTTTGTAACCATTCTTGGGTGGCGCGTGCTGAGTACGATGCTGCTGAGTCTCGTTGGAATGTCCAAGGTCAGCGGCCAAAATGTTTGCGTGCTCAAGGCTGTAGTACATCCTCCAGAATATTTTCTCTATAATATTCGGCATTTATTCTAATGCCACGGTCGATTAATACGAGCAGAGAACGACCATCGGCTGTTATGGCGGCCCACACCATCACCATTGCCGGCGCTTGAGTTCTGGTGGCCAACCGAAAGTGTACATTTTCAGCTGACCTCTTTGGCAAGTAAACACTATCATTTTGTTTGTTTACAAACTGCTCTGCTGGACAACGAATGTTTTCTCATTTCGGAGAAAACCAAATTCGGCAGTTCACCACTTTCGGCCAGGCGAGGCAACTCTTTAGCTCTTTTGAGTCTATTTTCTTTCTGTTGCGGTGTAAGTTATTGTACTTTTTGGTATTTCAAAGGTTTTACCCCGAGCTCATTTTTCAATATATGCCGAATGGAATATTGCGATATGTTCAGCTCACGAGCCATTTTGCGGCCATTGCGACGCTTGTTTCGATAAAAAAAAAACTGCAACTAACTTCAGACTGCTGTCATTTCTAAGTCCCTTGTCCGACAGCTGTTAAAATTATTCCAGTGACAGCTCATTATATTGTTTGGCCGCAGACCTTGAACATTCGAACGCAGCACGCGCCACCAAAGAATGGTTACAAAATGAGGTTCCCCACTTCATTTCCAGTGCTCTATGGCCACTACAATCTACGGATACCAATCCGTTGGACTATTGCGTCTGGTGCATTTTGGAAAGCAAGGTTGGCACTAAGAAATACCAAAGTGTCAATCACTCTCAAGCAAGCGCTTCGTCGGGAATAGGCCAAAATACCGCAGAGCAACATTCGGGCAGCGTGTGACGCCTTCATTGGCCGTTTGAAAGACATAATTCGTGCCAAAGGTGACCAATTCGAACAAATCTAAACTGTTTCTAAAATTTGATACTATTTCCGACATGTTTATTGTCCACCAAATGGCTAATAATCGGCCCAAGTGGTCTGAGTTTTGGCTTCATGGATGGCTCAAAGCACATGGAGAGAGATCGGGGCTTGCTCTTGTTATATACGACCTAAAGAGCAAAATCTCTATATTCTTGAATATCCTTGCAGTGTGCTTGAGTACTTATTAAGGTCTTTTGCAACCGTATCCTAGAATATCCTTGTAGTGTGCTTGAGTACTTATTAAGGGTTCTTGCAACCGTATCCTATAATATCCTTGTAGTCCGTTGAGTGCTTATTGCTTGAGTATTTATTAAGGGCTCTTGCAACCATATCCTCGTCGTCTGCTTCAATATCCTTGTCGTCTGCTTGAGTATTTATTAATGTCTCTTGCAAGCGTATCCTTGAATATCCTTGTAGTCTGCTTGAATACTTATTTAGGTCTCTTAAAACCGTATCCTTGAATATCCTTTTAGTCTGCTTGAATACTTATTCAGGTCTCTTAAAACCGTAGCTTTGAATATCCTTGTAGTCTGTTTGAGTACTTATTTGGGTCTCTTGCAACCGGATCCAAGAACATCCTTGTAGTCCGCTTGAGTATTTATTAGGGTCTCTTGTAACCATATCCTCATAGTCTGCTTAAGTATTGATTAAGGTATGATTTGATACTTATTAAGGTCTTTGGCCACCGTATCCTGGAATATCATTGAGTTCTTATTAAGGTCTCTGGCAAACGTATCCTAGAATATCCTTGCAGTCTGTTTGGGTACTAATAAATGCCTCTTAAAACCTTATACTTAAATATCCTCGTAAGTTTTTATATCCTGTTAACATCGCCTAAGTACTTATCAAGGTCTCTTGCGTCGAAATACACTCGGTAGAAATGTTGCATCATAACCGATTCCCTGTTTCCTTGTCCCGTGACCCATGTACTTCTCCCGGTCTTGAATCGGAAGAATAATTGATAATTACCCCCAGCACGGACTGCTAGGCTAAAATCAGCATAAGTTGTAAATAACTAAATTATAAATCCTATTCCCGTCTCGACCAATAAATTTCTGTAAAAACTGCTGGATTTCAACTCGGCTATTCCAGTCCAGGGGGAGAAGTCCCGTCGTTATAACCCACATATACAAACAACAAAAATAATTGGTTGCAGACCAAACCCCATTCAATTGTTTTCGACCAGTGTCGTAGTGTAGGTTGTTTTTCAGAAGTTTTTGAGGTAGATATTTAGATTTCGGCGCTTCCCAAAGTCTAGGAAAACATTAGCCCCCTCTCCTTGTTCGTTGTGAGAGCCTTTCTTCAGATTTTGAATTAATTGAGTTTTGAAAGGCCCAGAAGACCTCTTGAAAGGCCTAGGAAAACATTAGCCCCCTCTCCTTGTTCGTTGTGAGAGCCTTTCTTCAGATTTTGAATTAATTGAGTTTTGAAAGGCCCAGAAGGCCTCTTAAAAGGTCGTCTATCAAAAGATTTTATTTCCGAAAGCCATTCTGAGTTCCCATTTAATAAAATTGTCTTTTTTTGCTTTCAGACGGCGGCGTAATAACCCGGGGATGCCTTCAAAAAGACCAACCTTGCGAAGCCAGCACATGTAAATCCTGCACAGGTGATTCTTGCAACAACCATAATATCTGCAAAAAGTGCAGTACAGACGATGCTGATTGCTCCCAAACGGATGGTTCGCTCGTCAAATACAACGAGATTTGCGAAAGTTCCACCACCCAATGTTTTGTCCAGGTCAAGGATAAAAAAGTCGAACGGCGTTGTGCCACGGCCGATGATAGCTGCAACAATGACACCACTTGCAAGAAAACTGACGGATCCATTAGCAATGCCGGGTACTTCCCAACCAAGCGTATCCACTGTTACCAGTGTGCCCAGACGGATTGCAGCGATGTTAGCGTCAGTGCTGTTCCCAAGAAACCCTGCCGTAATTATGTCGACAACGACGAATGCTATATGACGGCCGAAAGTGCAACTGCGGTCACTCGGGGCTGTAAGTCGGATGACAATGCCAAGTGTGGCACAGGTGGCGGCGAACAGGGCTGTGTCACATGCCAAACGGACAACTGCAACAATTCCACATATGAGAGGCAACAGAAACTGAAATGCATTCAATGCCAGGGCACCGATTGCTACAAGGAGCAGGCTGCCGCCGAGGCCAAGGATTGTGAAAAGAAGATACTGTACTCGGACAAGGAAGCTTGTTTCACGCTGGTGGCCGATGGAGACATTCAACGCAGTTGCCTGCACAATGATGCCGCCACCAAGGAGAAATGTGAAAAGGCTGGCGATGCCTGCAAGGTGTGCAGCAATGAAGATGGCTGCAACCGAAGTGCAGAGTCATCGAACTTCCAGTGCATTGTGTGTCGCAGCGATGAGAACAAGGATTGCTGGAACGATGCCTCGAAAGTCAGTGGCAAAAAATGTCGAACGGGCGAAAGTTCACCCGAAGAGGGATGTTTCCATGGCATTTGGAGTAAGTTAGAAAATCATTACAAAACGGAGGATATTTCCACTCTACCTTTTGGTTTTCATTTACAGATGGCGTTGCTATACGTGGCTGTTACATTGATGCCGATGCCCAAACCCAGGCCATCTGTTCGGATGCCAAAAACAAACAGTGTACCCTGTGTCACACCGCCAACTGTAATACCGGCAAATCTTCAAATGGCGCCCAAGCTGTTGGCATTTTTGTGGGTCTTATCATTGCCATGCTTTCCGTCATCTGGTATACGAATTGAAAAGCAACGAAAACCATGGAGAATTTTACTGTTAAATAAAATAAGGAATACAAATATTTTCCATCAATAATTTGAAAAATATATATATATATATTTTTTTTTTTAAATACAATTTTAATAAATTATACCCACCCTTTTTTAAAGACCCAACGATGTGGATTTTTATAAAATAACCGAAAAAGAACGAGGCCAATGATCTACAAATGTACATTTTTTTTAAAGAAGTCCTTTTTGCAAGGACTTGAAATGGGGATATTTTTAAGGAAACTGTCTCGAGGGACCCAAAAAATGAGAAGTTTTTAAAGAAGAGAGATTTTTTTCCAAGGACCCAAAATCAGTATACTTTTAAGAAGACTTTTTTCCAAGGACCAAAAAACGTAGATTTTTTAAAGAAGACTTTTTCAAGGACCTATATTATCCCTATATTTTCAAAAAAAAAGATTATTTTCCAAGGACCAACAGATGTGGATTTTAATAGAAGATTTTATCGTCTGCTTGAGTAATTATTAATGTCTCTTGCAAGCGTATCCTTGAATATCCTTGTAGTCTGCTTGAGTACTTATTAATGGTTAATGCAACCGTATCCTAGTATAATCTTGTAGTCTGCTTATGTACTTATTAAGGTCTCTTGCAACCGTATCCTACAATATCCTTGTAGTCCGCTTGAGTATTTATTAGGGTCTTTGCAAACATATTATCATAGTCTGCTTGAGTATTGATTAAAGTATGATTTGATACTTATTAAGATCTCTGGCAACCGTATACTAGAATATCATTGAGTTCTTATTAAGGTCTCTTGGAACCGTATCCTAGAATATCCTCAAGGATACGGTCCTTACACAATGTTAATAAATTATACCCCCACTTTTTAATGACCCAACGATCTTGATTTTTATAAAAGAACCGAAAAAGAACGGGGCCAATAAACAAAGTCCTTTTTGGAAGGACTTGAAATGGGGATATTTGTAATGAAGACCTTTTAAAAGAAGACTTTTCCAAGGACCTATAATAGGGATATTTTCAAAAAAAAAAGATTATTTTCCAAGGATCAATATATGTGGATTTTAATAGCAGATTTTTTCCAAGGATCTTAGAACGTGGATTTTTCAAAAGAAGATGTTTCCCAAATACCCAAAAATGGGGAAATTTTTAATAAGACTTTTTCCAAGGACCCACAGATGTGGATATTTTTGGAAAACTTTTTCAAGGAATCAAGGTTTTTTCAAGGAATCAACGTTTAAAAATAATCCAAGCAGTCAAAGTGAGGATCTTTTAAAGAAGACTTTTTCCCAAAGACCTAGAATGAGACCAAAAAAACGTAGATTTCTTATCCAAGTACCCATTTTCGGGATATTTGAAAAAGATTTTTTCCAAGGACCAAAAAACGTAGATTTTCTAAAGAAGACTTATCCAAGGACCCATTATGGGGATATTTTTAAGACAATTTTTTTTCCAAGAATCCAAAATCGAAATATTTCGCAGAAATCTGGATATTTTAAAGAGGGCTTTTTCGAGGATCTTTTAAAGAAGATTTTTTTGGAAAGTCCTAAAATAGAAATATTTTTAAGAAGACATTTTTCCAAGGACCCAAAAATAGGATCTTTTAAAGAAGGTCTTTTTTCAAGGACCCAAACTGAGGATATTTTAAAGAGGATTTTTTCATGTGCCAAAAAAATGGGATCTTTTAAAGAAGACTTTTTTCCAAGGACCCAAAATAGGGATATTTTCGGAATACTTTTTCAAGGACACAGAAAATGAAGATCTTTAAAAAAAAACTTTTTTCCAAGGATGAAAAATTTAGGATCTATAAAATAATACTTTTTTCCAAGGACCAAAAACGTAGATTTTTTTAAAGAAGACTTTTTCAAGGACCTATATTATCCCTATATTTTCAAAAAAAAAAAAAGATTTTTTTCCAAAGACCAACAGATGTGGATTTTAAAATAAGTTTTTTTTTTTTGAAGGACCTTAAAGCATAGATTTTTTAAAAGAAGACTTTTTCCAAAAACCAAAATTGAGAATATTTTTAAGAAGACTTTTTCAAGGACCCAAAAAATTATGATCTTTTAAAAAAGACTTTTTTCCAAAATGATGATTTTACAAAGAGGACTTTTTCCACGGCCCCACAGACGTGGATTTTTAAAGAGAACGTTTTTCCCAGGGACCAGACATGTGGAGATTTTTTAGAAAACATTTTCAAGGATCCAAAAAATAAAGTTAAAAAAAAATCCAAGCACCCAAAATGAGGATCTTTTAAAAAAGACTTTTTTTCAAGGACCCAAAATAGAGATATTTTAAAAAATGACTTTCTTCATGGATCATAGACGTGAATTGATTAAAGAACAGTTTTTCCAAGGACCCAAAATAGGGATATTTTCAGAATAATTTTTCAAGGACACAGAAAATTAGGATTTTTTTAAGAAAACTTTTTTCCAAGGACCCAAAACTGGAATATATTTGAAAATACTTTTTTTATCCAATGACCTAAAAATAAGGATCTTGAAAAGAAGACTTTTTCGAAGGACCCAAAATGGGGTTATTTTTAAGATGACTTTTCCAAGGAACTAAAATCGGGATATTTTTAAGAAGACTTTTTCCCAAGGACAAAAAAATGTAGATTTTTAAAAACGACTTTTCCAAGGACCTTAAATAGGGATATTTTCCAAAAACAAAAAGATTATTTTCCCAGGACCAACAGGTGTGGATTTTAAGAAGATTTTTTTTCGTAGGACCTTAAAACATTGATTTTTTAAAAGAAGATTTTTTCCAAAAACCACAATTGGGGATATTTTTAAGAAGACTTTTTCAAGGACCCAAAAAATTAGGATCTCTTAAATAAGAATTTTTTCCAAAATGATGATTTTATAAAGATAACTCTTTCCAAGGCCCCACAGACGTGGATTTTTAAAGAGAACGTTTTTCCCAAGGACCAGAAATGTGAATATTTTTTAGAAAACTTTTTCAAGAACCAAAAAAATAAAGATTTAAAAAAAATTTCCAAGCACCCAAAATGAGGATCTTTTAAAGAAGACTTTTTTTCAAGGACCCAAAATAGAGATATTTTAAATAATGATTTTCTCCATGGATCATAGACGTGGATTGATTAAAGAACACTTTTTCCAAGGACCCAAAACAGGGATATTTTCAGAATAATTTTTCAAGGACACAGAAAATTAGGATTTTTTTAAGAAAAATTTTTTCCAAGGACTCAAAACTGGAATATATTTAAAAATACTTTTTTTATCCAATGACCTAAAAATAAGGATCTTGAAAAGAAGACGTTTTCGAAGGACCCAAAATGGGGATATTTTTTTAAGATGACTTTTCCAAGGAACTAAAATCGGGATACTTTTAAGAAGACTTTTTCCCAAGGACAAAAATGTAGATTTTTTAAAAACGACTTTTCCAAGGACCTAAAATAGGGATATTTTCAAAAAACAAAAAGATTATATTCCCAGGACCAACAGGTGTGGATTTTAATAGAAGATTTTTTTTTTTTCGAAGGACCTCAAAACATTGATTTTTTAAAAGAAGACTTTTTCCAAAAACCAAACTTGGGGATATTTTTAAGAAGACTTTTTCAAGGACCCAAAAAATTAGGATCTCTTAAATAAGAATTTTTTTCCAAAATGATGATTTTGAAAGATAACTCTTTCCAAGGCCCCACAGACGTGGATTTTTAAAGAGAACACTTTTCCCAAGGACCAGAAATGTGGATATTTTTTAGAAACCTTTTTCAAGAACCAAAAAAATAAAGATTTAGAAAAAAATTTCCAAGCACTCAAAATGAGGATCTTTTAAAGAAGACTTTTTTTCAGAGACCCAAAATGGGGATACTCTTGAGAAGACTTTTTTCCAAGGACTAAAAAACGTATTATCGGGATATTTGAAAAAGATATTTTTTTCGAAAGGCCAACAAACGTGGATTTTTTTAAATAATACCAGGAACAAGAGATTGGAATATTTTTAAGACAACTTCTTTGCAAAGTCCAACATTCGTAGATTTTTTTAAGAATATTTTTTTCCAAGAAATCCAAAGGATCAACTATTGTGGATTTTTTAAATAAGACTTTTTTCCAAGGACCCAAAATGGGGATAGTTTTGAGACGAGGGCCCAAAAATGAGGATCTTTTAAACATTACTTTTTTTCAAGGACCCAAAACGAGGATACTTTTGAGAAGACTTTTTTTCCAAGGACCAAAAAACGTAGGACCCAATATCGGGATATTTGAAAAAGAATTTTTCCAAAGACCAACAAACGTGGATTTTTTTAAAGAATACCAGGGACCCGAGATGGTGATATTTTTAAGACAACTTTTTTCCAAAGTCCAACAATCGTAGATTTTTAAGAATATTTTTTTAGGAGCACCGAATGGGTGTATTTTAAAGAAGACCTTTACAAAGGATCAACAATTGTGGATTTTTTTAAAGAAGACTTTTTCCAAGGATCCAAGAAATGGGGATAGTTTTGAGAGGAGGGTCCAAAAATGGGGATCTTTTAAAGAAGAATTTTTTCCAAAGACCAAAAATTGTGATATTTTTAAAAAGGGATGGGGATATTTTTCTAAAGACGAAAAGGAAGCCTTTTTTGAAGGACACAAAATTGGGGTAATTTAAAGAAAACTTTTTTCATGGACCCAAAAAATGAGGATCTTTTAAAGAAGACTTTTTTTCAAAGACCCAAAATAGGGACATTTTTAAGAAGGCTTCTTCCAAGGGCCTTCATGGTCAGAATCTTTTAAAGATTTTTCCCAAGGATCCAAAATGGGATATTTTTAAGAAAACATTTCCAAGAATCCAAAATCGAAATATTTCGAAGAAATTGGGATATTTAAAAGAGGGCTTTTTCAAGGACCAAAAAAATGAGGATCTTTTAAAGAAGATATTTTTTGGAAAGACCTAAAATAGAAATATTTTTAAGAAGACTTTTTTCCAAAGACCCAAAATGGAGATATTTTAAAATATGACTTTTTTCAAGGACCCAAAAAATAGGATCTTTTAAAGAAGGCCTTTTTTCAGGGACCCAAACTGGGGATATTTTAAAGATG